CCTTCGTTGCAGTGCGCGGGCTTCTCATTGCAGTGGCTTCTCTTGTTGCGGAGCACAGGCTCTAAGCACACAGGCTTCAGTAGTTGTGGCACGCGGGCTTAGTAGTTGTGGCTTGCGGGCTCTAGAGCGCAGGTTCAGTAGTTGTGGCGCACGGGCTTGGTTGCTCCGCGGTATGTGGGATGTTCCCGGACCAGGGCTCGAACCCATGTCCCCTGCATTGGCAGGCGGATTCCTCACCACTGCGCCACCAGAGAAGCCCCTAAAAACACCTTTTAAATACTTACAAAGAGCTTACACATCGGATTAACACATATGGTGTTTCTTTTTTTTTTTGGCCACGCCGGCAGCATGTAGGATCTTAGATCCCAGACCAGGGATTGAACCTACGCCCCCTGTAGTGGAAGCGCGGAGTCTTAACCACTGGACAGCCAGGGAAGTCCCTGGTGTTTCTTTTTTTAAGAGAAATCAAAATGAAGTAGGTGTAGTAGAATAGTTATGTGAGTTGTTAGTTTTAGGTTCCTTGCAAACGGTATTCTTTTCTCTTGAGATGTTTCTATTAGAAAGATTATAATAGTTGTTTTGAAAATGGTCTGGAGGAGGGAATAAGTTAGGAGTTTGGGATTAACATATACACACTACTGCATATAAAAGAGATAACCAACAAGGACCCGCTGTACAGCACAGGGCACTCTACTCAATATCTTGTATAACCTATAAAGGAAAAGAATCTGAAAAAGGACATATATACGTTTAACTGGGTCACTTTGCTGTATACCTGAAACTAACACAACATTGTAAATCAAGTTTACTTCAATTTTTAAAAATTAGAAAATAAAATGATTTTAAAATGATCTGAAGAAAGTTTTTGACACTATGTGTTCACCCAACCAGTTTATTGAAAATGACTTCATAATTGCCAGGCCCACGGGATGCTTCTTGGCTTTCACCTCCTTTGGTCTTTCTCTGGCAGTGACAGCGGGCCCACTTCTGCTTGGGTGGACGCTCTCCCTCCCTCTTGCCTTCATCCTGTGCCATCCTGCTTCCCTGAGGGCTCCTTTTCAGGATCTTTTCGTTACAAGGGCTTTCTTTCTGCCCACACTTGAGATGCTGTAGTTTCCGCCTCCTCAGATGTGTTGTGATCCTGTGTCTATGCTGCTGCCTCATTGAAACCTCCTGTAGGTGCCCCATAGTCTGCAAGGGAAGCAAACTCAGATGCCCACGTGGGCAAGTGATGGAAGTAAATGAAGATCTGGTTATTAAGAAAAAAAATAATAAAGCAGCATAGGAAACAGACAAGGATTTTTAAAAACTGGAAGGAGGATGTCTCATCTAAAGCCCTTTCCACCTGGCCCAGCCTCAGTTTCCGTGAAGGAGTGAAGGCCATACTGACCTCGTGCGGTAAACACTGTCCGTGCCTGGCACCCAGCTGCTCGGGTGAGGCCATGAGGAGGACAAAGGGTCCTCCTCTCCTGGAGCTGACGCCCGTTCTGCAGATCTGAGTAACACAAGGAGTCACACCAGGGCTAGTAATATTTAGTATGACCAGATGTTCAAATTTGTTTTAAAAGGGCCTGAAATCCAGATTTTTCTGTGAAATTTGACTTTTTAAAATGTCGATTTACAGACAGGGAAAGACAAATATCATATGATATCACTTATATGTGGAACCTGAAAAAAATAATATAAATGAACATATTTACAAAACAGAAATAGACTCACAGACATAACAAACTTAGAGTTACCAAAGGGGAAAGGGGGGGAAGGGGGGATGGTGGGAGGTAAATTAAGAGTTTGGAATTAACATACATATACACACTACTATATAAAAAATACATAGACAGTAAGGACCTACTGTACAGCCCAGGGAACTACATTCAGTATCTTGTAATGACCTATAACAGAAAAGAATCTGAAAAAAAAAAAAATGTATATGTATAACTGAATCACTTTGCTGTGCACTTGAAACTAATACAACATTATAAATTAACTGTAGTTCAATAAAAAGTAATTTTAAAAATACAGGTAGCACCTGAAAACTTAATTGATTAATTAAATGTCGACAAATATTTTAAAGAGGGGTAGAACGTCTTCAAACTGTGCTTAACCTCTTTGGAACATTGATCTCCAAACTACTTTTCTAACATCCGGCTCTGAAATTTCAAGGCCTTCGTACCTACACCTGTTCTTCCAGCTTGAGCTCCATCCTCTGTTCACAAGGGACCACCCCGGGCCCCTGGTTTCCTCTGTTACGTCCTCGGGATTGTGCTTGCTACTAGAATGCATTTCCATTCTCCCTGGCCCCCCTGGTCAGTCAGGACTCACTGACAGCCCAGGTGCTGCTTTGAAGGCTGAGCCTCATCTCACTGTACAGGGTTTCCCTCACCTTGAAAGTGTTCTGCACTGCCCGTTTTTCCTAAGCACTCTCATTAGAGCACTCGGCACTGCTTAATGGACCCTGAGCCCAGAAGCTATGGTTTCATCTCTGTATCCTGAGAATCTAGCCCAGCACTTTGCGGGCTGGCACTTTGGGCCAACACAATGCTTCACAGGTACTCGTGGAATGACTGACCAGGCCTGAAATCAGCTGTCTGCAGACTAGCCCTGATGGTAACCCGTATCAGAGAGCTTCACCTCCCAAACACAGGACAAACGTACTCTGTGGAAAGGAACTTTGTTCCACCTGTAAACAATCTCGGTCTAAAAATTACTCTTTGATTTAAAATGCTGGTTATCAACTCCTATACCGCGTCACGTCTGAAATAACCACTCAGTCTGTTTTACCCAAATCCTCCTCCCCCCGCCCCCCTTCCTGGTCCACCTTCACAGCAAGACTCCTGGGAAGGTTGTACCGGCTGCCTTGTGCGTTTATCATTTACCACCCAGGCTCGTCGTGCGATTGAGCAGAGCTGTGCTCTCCTCTGGTATCTGACTTTTCTTATTTGTTGCTTTCACACTCACAGGGTCACATTAGAGTAGGTGCCGGGTGGGAGCGAAGGGGTGCTGGGTAGAGAGGAAGGGCTAACTGTTGAGTGGGAGCTCTGTGCCAGCGACGTCTAGGCACCGTGCGTGTGCTGGCCCGCCTTCCCTCTCTTAAAACATCCCAGTGAGTCAGGTAGCATTCTCCTTATTTTAAGGACAAGAAAAACAAGGCTGGAACAGGTTAAGTTACACACCATAGGAGAGCTCTGGCTACTGCTTGAGGACAAAGTTGCATAAGTACAATTGGTTCATTTTGCACTTTGTCCTTTTTCATCAGTTTTTTTCTTCTGTAAATTCTGTACTGTACAAAGTATATTAATTTTAGTTGTCTGGTATCTACTGAATTTAGACTTTTTAAAAAACCCAACCAGTTGTTTTCATCCATGTCAGACCTCCCTTAAGAAAAGTTTGGCAATGTCCTCTTCACTATTGTGAAACGCAATTCGTAACAGCGATCATCTATTTATATGTGCAGTTGTTTAAAAAATAAATATAATGGCCTACATGCTCTGTAAAGCTGAAATGATAACAGTACTTTATATGAAAATACACACGCATGGAAAATGAACTAGTCAGATGTTTGTATCTTTTTTTGTTGTTTTTTTGTTTTTTGCGGTACGCGAGCCTCTCACTGCTGTGGCCTCTCCCGCTGCGGAGCACAGCCTCTGGACGCGCAGGCTCAGCGGCCATGGCTCACGGGCCCAGCCGCTCCGCGGCATGTGGGATCCTCCCGGACCGGGGCACGAACCCGTGTTCCCTGCATCGGCAGGCGGACTCTCAACCACTGCGCCACCAGGGAAGCCAGATGTTTGTATCTTTTAAGCAGCAGACTCAGACTAAATGGGTATGTTTTCTGGTTTTCACTGTGATGCAAAGAGTATAAGCAATATTCCTATGAGTGATTTGATTTTCCAAAGTAGTAGCTGTTGTTCCAAAGTATAGAAACTTCCTTCGACTTAACGTGATCGTTCTATTTCTAGAAAATTCGGCTTCAACTAAATCTGCAAAACATATTTGTGCTTCTATGTGACAGTATTATGTTCTAGACTCAGATGGATGATAGCAGAAATGTTGCCTACATGAGTGTCCAGCGAACTGTTTGAAAGGCCTGGAGGGCATGGAGCAAACACCCATTTTTGGGACTGTCCCTTGTTGGATGTCCACGGACCTTGCCCGCTTCACCCCCCGCCCCATCGAGACAATGTAAAATGTCCCTACACATTTCTCACAGTTCTCATAAGGGGCAGCCCTGCTCTCCATGAGTGCCACTGATCGAAACTTTCAAACCCAAGTTAACATTGGTTCGAAAAGTATTAAGCGTTCATTCCATAGGTTTAAGATACTGTGTGTAGCACAGTGTAAACCAGAAGCATGTAAGAATGATTCCTTTCTTCAAGGGTTTAACAGCCTAGCTAACAAGATGGATCACTTGCATAGACGTAGTTAAAAGTATGTGTTTATCAGGAAGAGAAAGATGGTGGGGAGCTGAGAACAGCCAGAAAGGTCTCACAGGGGCAGCGCAGTACAGAGTGAGATTTGGAGGACGTGTCTATAAAAAAGTGGCTCTAGAAAAGCTTGGGACACAGGTGAGGAAAGGGGGCCAAGGAGCCTGACTGGGGTGAAGGCGTGACCGCCGGAAAGTGATGGGCAGTGATCATGGAAATTAGGATTGGAGCAAAACTGTCACATCCGAATGGAGATTAAATTGAATAATTCATGAATATCAGATATGGTCGCTCTGTACAGAATATTCAAGTTTTGACATGGCTCTTTAAATGAATTTGAAGTTCGTTACCAGTAAAATTGGAGGGCTTAGAATAGAAGACTTGTATTTCTTTAACTGGGAATGCATTTTCAGTTGTGTCTCTTCTTTGGCAGATTTTATTCCATTTATGCAGTTAAATTTGGGATGAACTCACAGCTGTGGTCCGCAGGGACTCATTGTCTCCATGGACATGGACTTTGAATTCCTAAAATAACAGACCGTGGTTTGATGTCTCTTTTGTCTTGGTCTCTTGCAGGTATGATTTTGTAGAGGTTGAGGAACCCAGCGATGGAGCCGTATTAGGGCGCTGGTGTGGGTCTGGCACTGTGCCGGGAAAGCAGATTTCTAAAGGCAATCAGATCAGGATACGGTTTGTGTCTGATGAATATTTTCCTTCGGAACCCGGGTTCTGCATCCACTATAACATTGTCATGCCAGTAAGTACCACTTAGAGATGCCCTTATGTATCTGGATCAGTTGTTTGGTCACTTCTTTTTCTCCTTTTAAACAAGAGATTTAGGAAAACCAAGAACCAAAAACCTTTCCATAGCTTGATTTTTTTTTTTTTTCATAAATGTCACTATGGTTATCGCTATAACTATAATTTATTCACTGTAGATTATTAGTGTCTCCATTGCCTTAAAAGTCCACGCTTTTATGTGATGTTTTAATTTTTCCCCCATTAAGGTGTCATCTTTCCTTTCTGTACCCACCAAAAGTTGATTTTTTAGATGTGTCATTTTATCTTTTTTGGGGGGAAAGGTAAACTTATTAACTACTCTTTTCAAATCAGTGTTTTAGTAAAATATATTTTAAAAAGTAGTTATGTCAGTTTTCCTACTTATCTTAATATTTGTCCTGAGTAATAATATTATGGCCTTTGTACCCCATAGAGGAAGTTTCAAAATTCTCACAGGGATTTAGGAAATCTATTTTTATTTGTATTGCAATTGTTTATTCCCTTTATTTTATATATTATTTCAAACATTTGTATCTATTTGTTGTGCTGCAACAAAAAATATTGAAAACCTTCTGGCTGTTTATCACATTCTGCTTATAATGGTAATTCAGAAGTATTTATACAAATATGGTGTCACCTAGTATACTTTTCAAATATGATGAGTATCACCATTTAAAAGAATATAAAATTGATATCATTAATGATTTTGACAGATTTAGCAAATCAGTATGCACACTGGGAACATGAAATGGTGTGGGCTACATGCATTAATTAACATGTATATTCTAACCAGGTATAAAAATAATGCATCCAGCACACTAACAATTCATGAGGCCAATTAGAAAATATGGGATCAATATTTAACTTTATATATAATTATTATAATTATAATTAGAATATATATATTATGATAATTATATATTATATTGATATGTAAATATTACGAATAATTATACATTAACACAGATAATTACACATTATTCATATATTATGTAATATTATATTATATAATAATTGTTAAACATTGTGAATAATTATATATTATTCATATTGTAACATTAAGCAGGAATTTCCCTTTTTTGATTGCCCAAACTCAATTCCATGGAATAGTATTTAAACAACTGACTAAATTATGAAATTTAAGTATTGTTTGAGATACAGCTGAAAAGAAACAACAGAATGTAAACTGAAGTTGGAAAAATGATAATTTATTTATTAACAGAATCATTTACTGTGTACAATTGAAGTTAAGGGAGGTACCTCTAAAATATGCTGTGAATTTACATTGGGAATCTTGATCAGTTTCCTGATATAGACTATTTGAGATATCTGTACCTCTATCCCATTATGAAATACTTTGCACAGTATAGATTCTCTACTGTGTCCTTTGTTAATTTCCAAAATTTTTCTTAATTTAACAGCTTATAACATTTTTTATTTAAATTTAATAAAATTTAATAATTTCACCTAGAGAAGTGTTAATATTAGACAAGGATGAACTTATTTAAAAACCTTTTGATACTGTGACTATTTGTTTGCACGAAGCCACTAAGAATCTGTTTATCACCCTTTCACAGTATATGCTGCTTCACAGAATTTATGAGTTTAATATTTGTTTTAAGCCTAAAACGCCCTAGGGAGTCATGAGAAAGCTACACTTTCACAAAGTTATACAGTCCATATTTTCCAGTTTGGATTTAGCACATCTAATGTTCTTAAATATTTAAATATGAAACAATCAAATTTTACTGTAAAACATAACAGTAGGTCTTGTATCATAGCGAAGGTTTGATTTATCCCAAACCTGTGACAAAAATAAAGAGAAGCTATTTGTACAGTATTTTAAATGAACTAGTGTCTTCACATTATATTAATAGCAATCTATTATCATCCCACAGAATAAGACATGAAAGCAAAAACATATATATGCTGACACCAAGTGTTGCCTTCCTCTGATTTTACAATCTCGTAGGTTGTCTGGTTGTATAACCCACGGAGTGGTGTGGAAGAAATAAAATATGTAAAAACAAAAACACAGGAAATGTACAGTGCCTCGCTTAGTTCTGGCCCCATTATAGTTTTTCAATAAGTAGTTGAATACTGAGTTGACCATACAGCTCAGTCACCCCAGCTTAACTAACAGCGGATTCACTGACACTTGTGTTTCCATATGTATGTGTGTGTCAGATTCCTGAGCCTGGAGATGAGATAAAGACCCATAAGGATCTGCTGTAAGTACCACCCATCCTCTGGACTGGGAAAGACCCTGCCCCCTGGGTTTGACCTGTTACCAGGGATTCACTGTGACTAAGACCAGAAACTGCATCTGGGAGACTTTGGGTGAAGAGGGTATTTCTGTTTGCATCATCAAAATTAAGTTCAGTACATGTTTAGATCGTTACTGAAATAGTTGGATAAATTGTCAGTATGGACTTTGGATTGACACTCTCCTGGGCTCTGTTGAACGTGTCTTTCTTGGTAACTAACTTCTTGGTAACTAGTTGCCCTGTGATGGCTGCCTGGGGAAACAGTTTGCATTATGCTTAGGAAACCATCAGGCTGGGGCCAGAAGAAGCAAGAGAAGAGGACAGTAGGTTCCTGCCTTGCTTAACATGTGTGACCTGGTGATTTTAATCTTGCCAGGTGGCTTTCTGGAGTGATCACTGATACATGAATTGTACTGTCTCACAAGCTTTGACTCTTCAGGGTGTGAGTTTACTTTGACAATTTACCTGCCATTCTCTCACTTACCCTTTGCCCTGATCCCATGCAGCCGTGGCTCTCTCCATGCAGCCCACACTCATTCTGCTCTCAACAACTTCCCCAAGTTGGTGAGTGAGAATCGGTGAGTGATTTTGCACTCCAGCCTCCCAGAGTGTTCTGAATTACCAGTGTATGTTGCTCAAGGGCACCCCTCCCTGCCTGACCCTCTCCCCCAGCATCCCTGCCAGCAGGGCATCATCCATCAGTCTTATCTGTGCACCAGCAAAGGAAAGCCTCAGGGAAGAAAGTTTGCCTTTTGGAGAATAGGCTTTAAAGTTCTGCGGCATTTGCTCAGGGGCAAGTGCCCCTCCAAGCCCCTGGATCCTCGATCACACTTTTTTTTTTTTTTCCTTTTTCTCCAGAGATGAACTTCATAATTAACACACCCAGCTCCCCAGAGGCCATGGTCTCCCTGACTGCAAACCCCCTGCTGCACAGTAGGACTGAGGGGCCGCCGGCCCGCTGGCTTCTTAATTTTGTAATGATACAGTGCTATTCAGCACAGGCCCTGAGTGCACTGTGAACTTCCTGCCTAGAGGTTTGTCGCTGTGCAGCTGTTCACTCATCTGCCATCACCCCGGGGGGGGGGGGGGCTGTGAACCCCCCCATGGAGCTATCTCACTTACTGTATGTGACAGTACTGATGATTCATAAACCAGAAAACTGAAGAATCGCAGTAATGACTCGACATACTCTCCTGGTCCTGGTGTATTAGGCTGTATTGCCAAGGATACATTCTTGTCCTCCTCAAAGAAAGGATGGAACTGGAATCTTTTCTTTTCTTTCCTTCTTTTTCTTGTTGTTGTTGTTGTTGTTGGGGACTGGAGCACACCCCCGGGGTAAAGAAATTAGTGCCTACGTATGACGTCATACGCATTGATGGTCTGATCATCCTTACCTGCTTTTTTATAATGATCAGAACGAATATTTTGCATCTATCGACACATAGAAAAAAAATGTTGAGTTTAATCACATTTTTTTCTGGGACGATTATAGAGAAAGTTTATTTTAATATCCTTTATATTTTACAAATAAGAGAGTGAACTCCGCAGCCCTCTTTGGGAGCTTGAATGAATATTTATTCCAGTCAATCTTTAAGACTCTGTGGTTCTGATTACCATACATCTTAGCAGGAGGGTTTTAATGCATTAGTTAAAGTTCTCAGAAATAGTTTTTGCTACACGTGTTGCCATTAAAAATTGGGTTTGCCTTTGAAAGATGATTTATCCACTCTTTTTCCCTCCACCAGTGAATGAGAGAGCGTATAGTTAAACAAGGGATCCCTTACTATTTTGGACAAAGTGATGCTGATCTAATATAGTTCATATGTGTTTTATATAGAGATATGCTTTCCTTTGTAATGTTATGTTTTCAGTACCATTTTCTTGATTCCCAGGTACCTTAGACTAAGACATGAATAACATTTATCTTTCCATTTTGCTCTTTTAAGTTGATATTATAGACTGTTAGTTTAGAAAAAAAAAACGTGGCATAGGATGTTTACCTGAAATTAGAGCTAGTTCTTTGTAGCTTTTAAAAAAATAGTACCAGGTTGACTCCATTAATTAAAACTTATAGAATCTTCATGCTGTTCTCAAGATTTATGGAAATGTATATTCCCCAATCATGCTCCATTAATACATAATGGAAAAGAAATCCAGGCAAATGGATGCCAAACAATATATATCCAGCTTTCTGATGGGGCATAAGGAGTTAATAATGTCTTTGATTTTTGTTTCCTTTATGCTAGAAGAGGAAAAAAAGGCCTGGTAGATTAGCAGTGAGAGATTGTTTGGGAAGAAATGAAGCAAAACTGAAATAAAACAGTGCGAGCCTGTTTCTGTTTGGAGGCCACACACAGTGAGCGCCAGCGCACATTTCAGATCTCTTAGAAAGAAAAGAAAATTTCTTGTTTAATTTTGGAGTAATTTATAATAGAGTATGTGTGTTTCAGTCTGGGTACTGTAGCATAAGCACCATTATTTTAAAACGTTAAGAAACCTACAAAGGCTGAAAAATAACATCTTTTCTCATATCAAAAAACGTTGTTAAAAGTGTTTTATGTTTTTAAAAATCTCAGCCTTAATGTCAAATATACCGCATATTTTTGTCAGGCAGTTACTTCACAAAACCATACCTATTTTTGAAATAAACTGCACAAATCCAGATCTGATATTTTTCGTGGTTTTATTCTTTATATAGAGAACTCTTCTC